TGTTCGGGTTCGAAAAATTGCAAGAACACCGCAGTGATTAATTGAGGTGGCAAAAAGTAAGGCCCGAAAAGATGGTTATTATAAACATCTACCCAACTATCCAACCCAGACGTTGACAATAAATTCATGTTGGAAGTTTCGTGGCCGAATTGCGTGGGAGTTTTCATGCTTCCAAGCATATAAATTGATCAAAATGATCATGTGTTAAAAGGCTCTTCTAACACTTGTAGTGGTGTCTGTCGAACTCACGCAATATTCTTACTCTAAAATTTCTTTGCAGTCTAACATTGTCATTATTACGATCTACATGATCATTATTCAGCTTTTGTTCAACTATTTGTCTATGCACTTTCACAAGTCCAGAAGGAAACTTACCTGCTTTGATTCCAGGACACACATTATTTTAACTATCTTTAACTATCTTTAACTATCCTCTAGAAAAATTGGTCTATATCGAATAATAAAAAGCGGATTATCTTGAAAACGATTAACTCTAGCGCACTTTGATAAGAGTATCGTTTTTGTTTAAAAAAGTACAGAGAATAAGAATTTTTATTCAAAAAGCCAAGAAATATAGTTTCAGAAAAGTTATGGTTATTTTATTCCGTATAGAATACGTTACAGAGCGTATCCTTTCTCATGTCAAAAAACTCAGTATACCAAATGTGGATAGAATCGGTTAAAATGCACGTGTAATATGTATAAAAAAAAATTAATTTGAACACCTGTTTGTATGAAGTTTTTGTTTTCTGTAATTTTAAAAGATCTATCGACTGTGAAAGTCCTGCTACAAAAACCTGAAACACCCTGTATTATGGACATTATTTAAAATATTTCAATGAATACTTTAGTTATACTGGCAGGGCACAGAAAGATATAGGTGGCATGCGAGCAATTGGGCATAAAACTTAAAAATAAGCATCCTTCTAGTTTCGCTACACATCGCCAGTGTATACTTGTCGCTGTGTGACAAATTGCTCCATCTTGTTGAAAATGAGTATTCTCATTCATAGGCATTTGTGAAATGAAAAAGGATTTCAGCATTCGAACACATCGCGCTGATGTTACGGTAACTGCATGGCCATCATCATTCTTAAAGAAGAACAGGTCAATTATACTATTCGAAGACATCGCACTAAACTGTAACTTTGGCCGAATGGAGAGGTGGAGTTAATGAGGGATAGCGAAAGTTTGTTTATTAACATATCCGCTGAGGTGAAAATAATTAGTGATAAAATAATCCATAAATCGATGAGCTGTAGGTTGTCTTCAAACATCTGTATCATGCTATCATGCGCTCACAAAAACCAAGGCGAACAGGACTATTTGAATCTTGTACGAATGTAGGTGTAAATCATTATTTAAAATCCTTCTTACTGATCAAGTCGAAAGTCCTAGAGCAAGTAAGACGCCTTGCAGATCTTTGAGGACTACTTAATATTGCTACTCGTTCAGTCTACTCTATATTCTCGGGAGTCCTAACAGTTCTTACACTATCGCCTTTCTTTCTTATTATTGGGCCCACTGTTTTAAGTTAAGCGTTCAATCAGAAATGGCTTTCCTACTCGCAACAAAAGCTTGAGGCGGTAAATGAAAATGTTGGCGAAATTTACGTTGTGCTTGCACATAACTTTGAGCATTTTCTAAATAAGTTTTAACAGCAAAACCACGTTGTTCACCAGTCCAATTAAGCATGTTGACTAAACTGTTAAGTATTTTGAATATGATAATCACTCCAAACTAACTCAAATTTAATATTTTGTCTTTGTTTTATAACATTTCTTAATAGTTTTAAATAGTAGTAGTTTGTCTACCCCATTCTGTACTTGGCTTATATTTATCAGGTTTGTCAAATGTAGTACTTGATAGTTTCATTATACATTGGTAGCCAATACACCGATGTGGTGTATTCGAAATCTGCTACATTCTATATTTCTATTAGTTATTAAGTATTAGATACGCTTGGTTTCTATATGGCAAATTCTTCAAACATAAAAATAATAATAGTAACAATACTTTATTACTCCATTTTACCAAAAAAGCGTAGAGTGCGTCAATTTAACAATAATTACATTGTAATATAATACAAATTGAATTCAAACATTAAGTTGGAAAAACATATCAATGGTATACATCGGATTTTCCGTGACAATAGCTCTCAGTCTTCTCCGGAATCTTGGAACTGGCAGGATTCTTGTACCCTCCGAAATGTGATTGTAGATTTTGATATTTTTGTACAAAGCCGTCTTCTGAATCTTAGTAAGGTGCGTTTTTGGTGGCACCAGATAGCAGTTCACCCTCCCGCGTGTGTCTCGAGGATGTGATATTCTAGTTATTCCTCCTAACCAATACGGCACATTCCAGAATATAAATTCCATACAAGGTAGATATTTTATAGTTTTTAAAGTAACTTCTACAGCTATCAGTATTTTTTAGACCAAAGATTGCTCTTACACACCTCTTCTGTAGTATGAATATTCTATCTATACCAACACCACGGTCCCAAAAGACAACTTCATATCTTAGCAAGGAATGAACATATGCATAATAGGCATCTAATGCTGCTTCAATGCCAGCTGATCTGGAAATAATCCGAATGGCATATGAGAAATGACTGATCTTGCCAGCAAGAAAATCAATATGATTGGTCCAAGCCAGTCCAGGATCCATTTTCCAACCCAGAAACGGAATCTCTTCAACACTGGCAATCTCAATATCCCGATACCTCACCTAGATCTGATCAAAGCATAAGTGATAGTTAACAATTTTCGTTTTTTTTTTGTATTTAAATATATGTTGTGCACATCAAACCAATCCGCAAGTTTATTCAGATACTTCCCCTGAGGTACTCCCACCTTGACTTCCCTCCAAGCTGATCTTATTTCTGTTCCCTGTTCACTGTAGGCAACAACACATTGTAACCTCTCTGATAGATAGGATTTCATCCTTGACAAGCTAACAACTCTAAACCAAGTCTTTCCAACGTGGTCAAAAAGATTGAATGATGTACACTATCAAAGGCTTTTGTAACATCCATGAACAATGCTGTTGTGACCTGTTTTCCATTATATATAATATATATAAAACATGATAGTTTCAATATACATTGACAACCGAGGCCGCCTGCAGCAGAGGCGCTATATTTATGACCTTTTTTTTTTTTTACGAGGTTGGGGAAAATCTGCGAACAGACATCTGACCTGGGATCTTGAGCGGTCAGATAGTGTGGGGTTAAGGCACGAAAGCCCCGAAAACCCCTTTCCTCGTCTTCTGCGGGAACACTCTCACGAGCTTTCTTCGGAGTATTGTAAATTCATTCTCTCTGCCATTGTACCTTCTCCTCCCTTTCCTTTGTTACAACTACCTCCCTTACAAACTCTTCCACAATCTTCCATTTTTCTTCACTTTCTAGCATAACTTTCGTACAGTTTTCCGGCGTTACCTTAATTTTCAATTTTTTCCACATTTCCTCGCGTATTTCATTCCATCTTTTACAAGCAAAAAATGTATGCTCCACATCATCTATTTTATCTTCACAATAATCACACATTTCTTCCTCTCTTCTCTTATGTTTGTGTAAGTAGGCTTTAAAGCAACTATGACCACTCAAGAATTGGCACATAGAATAATTTATTTCTCCCCATTTCCGAGTAACCCATGTTTGAACATTTGGAATTATTCTTTTCGTCCAATGTGCTTTACCAGTGTTCGTGGTCCATCGATTGTTCCATTCCTGCATTATTTCCTCCTCCAGAATGTCACGATCCTCTTTTGTTTTCCATCTATACATTCGCCTTCTTGCCATCAACTCAATTGGAAATGAGTTTGCAATGACCAATAACGCTTCCGTAGAGACAGTTCTGTATGAACTGACAATTCTTATCAAAATTTGTCTCTGTAATCTCGTCATCTTTTCTTTGTGTTTTTTAATGTCAAACACCCCACTCCAAGCTTTGTAGGCATATGACCTGCTACGTTTATTATATCTTCAAGATATTAAGTGTTACACACGCTTTGTTCCTGTATATCACGATTATCAAATGTAAAACTTGATAGTTTCAGAACTATATTTTTTTAAGTTTAGCCCCGTTGAAGCAAAATTTGTATCTTTTTTGATAGACCTTAATTTCTATAGACAACTTGAGAATTTATTACTTCTTTTTTTGTGTTTTCTTTTTTAATAGAAACGATTTTTGCTTCGCTAATGCATGATATTTTTATTGTTCTGAGAATAATTGCTAAACATAACCAATATTAAATTTTAAAAGAAAATTATTACCAACATGAACCGTTAAAATAATTGTGACAGTTCTAGTGATTTTTTGTTTAACCAACCTAATAATATTTTAACATGTTGGACGTTTTGAATCATAGGTATGAGACGGCTTTCTAAGTTATCTGTATGTACATAGTTAAATAATTTAGCGTGAAACCATTTTTAAAACTTGTACCATGTAAAAAAGCTGTACTATAAAGTTGAGGAGCAAAAAGTTTTGCATTTGACTTCTGACTTTAAATTGATTTTTAGATTTCCAGATTTCTGACAATGAGTTACTTTTGTTTATAAATCTTATTTACAAGCAAAACTATAATAAGTTATTATAGTTTATTATAGTTGTTAATAATGCGACATCTATTTGCGAAAAGTTGTACTAGCACTTCACATAGATTTACACAATTATTTCAACGACCGTTCAACGTTTTTACGTTATTTTATTTTATTATTTCATTTTTTAAATATTTGCTTTAAATTCGTTAAATTTTTTGATAATTTATAATTTACAATAAGTTTCACTTCAATTCCAGGTCGATAAAACAGATTTCTTTAATGTCATCAATATGTCAAAACTGACGTAACTGTTAACCTTTAAAAGATTCCTTCTAAATATGATTAGGTTACTGTAAAATTGTTGTAGTGTTGCTATCTATGGATAATGTGATATATTAACAAGATGGAACATGCGCAATTTGAGTATGGTTTGTCGGTGGAAACGAGAAAAACCGTGAGTAAATCTGGGAAGAGTGCGTGCGTTTGTAGTTGTAGGTGCGCCGAAGGATGCACGTATTGGTCGCCCGGTGTTTAAAACCACAAAAACTGTGAAAATAATGCCCGATTATTCATTAAGTATCGGACGTGTGAATCTAATGTGCGGATTGGAAACCGTCTCGTTCTGTTTAGATATCGTTTAGCGATTGTAATACGGTTTATTTTGGTTTGTGAGAAGACAAAATGGCGCAGAACTTGCCACCATCGGTGAACTGTTCCCTCGATGATATAGATTTAACCGCCCTTAAAGTAAGTTCTTTTTACAAGTTGAACGAATCTCAAAGTTTCGTAATTAATTTAGTGTACTTATCATTTGCATTTTGCTCACGTGTAATTAGTAAAATAAATTGTAATTCGTGGCCGTGTAAACATGTCGCTTTTATATGGGTGTTTTCTACTTCTGTATTTCAATTTATTCTTGAATCCAATCAGGAAAAAAGATCGTTTCTTTTTTTAGGATCCGGCCGGAATTTTCGAACTCATCGAAGTTGTCGGAAATGGAACTTACGGACAAGTTTACAAGGTAAATTTGTACTTTTTTTAAATATTATTTTAATTAGTAAACTCATAATTCCTTTTAAAATCGTTCTATTAGTTAATTTTTCTTATCAAATAATTAAGTTACTACTGATAATAATCTGTGAGATCATATTGCAAAGATTTAAGTCTTTAATTTTTTGGAAATTGATACAGAGCTTACTCATAAAGTTAAATATTAAACCTAGAGCAATTAAGATATCTTTTTTCATTGTTTGATTTTTGACCTTGAAGGCTTCAACATAATTCTTAATTACAAATAAAATTTTTTAATGAATATTAATGAATTTAAGCATAAAATTTAGTATTAAATTAGTTTTTTTTTGGGCGCTCCTCCTCAATCTTTAATTTACATACTTAAACACGTGCACAAAAGCTTTTATATTGTGATTAAAAATACCCGTATAATCAAGCTTCCTTTCAATTTTTAAAGTAGGAAATTAAATATCGAATAAAACTTTTTAAAATCAATCATGAAATTGTTATTTTAATCAGTTTTGAATTCATTTTGACGTTTCAAACATTATTTTTAGAACTTGTTTCAATAAAAGCAAGTTTGATTACTTTTATATAAAAAATCTTGGGTTTTTTTCCAATGTTGGTGTAAAAACTTGGATTAAACACACAAGAAATTTCTAAATTGTTTAGATTTATCATTGAATCACCAATGAAATATGTACTATTCAACAAAATTCCATTCACACGTTTTAACACTTTACATTGGTACGCTTAAAATTTCTTTAGTTCCTTCAAGGTCATCGCAAAATCTACCGGCTGCATTTAAAATAACTTATCCACGTTGCAACCGTTCGTGTTCACATCTTTTTTTGTTTCACGATTTATTCTATTCCTTTTTTGTTCTTTTAAATGTTCTTGGTTACTGAAAAAGATTTTTAATTTCCGCTTTAAAGACTCTGAAGACGCACTGCTAAATCCGAAACTTTCTAGTTTTAGGTCTAGTGTTAGTTCTAGTTTTAGTTCATAGACAAATATGCAACTAAAACTAGACACTAACTAGTCGCCTTAAGAGACGAACGGCTAAACCCGAATGTTTCAAGTTCTAGGTCTAGTGTTAAGCTGAGTGTCCACATGCATGTATTACTGGCGCCAGTAAGAAGCCAATTTAGTGACGCCAGTAGTTGTTTCCACATAAATGTGATAATTGTGTACTAGCACAGTAATAAAAATGGCATCAAGTGATGTACTTCGTGCTAGCATCAATATGATAATGCAAATGTGCTCATTGGAACTCCACATGTTATTAACAAAAAAAAAAACGAAAACATAATTGCTGGGTTCGATCGTGCATTGCACGTAGACATTACTTAGGTGCATCAAGTACTTTAATTAGAGAACTATGTCATGAATATACATAATTATACACATAATTATGTCATAATTATACACATAATTATGTCATAATTATACACATCGTTAGCTGATGCTCCACTTCTGCACGAATTTAAAACCTTGTGGTATTCACTTGTATAGTTCATTAGTTTTTGTCAAAATTGGGAACTCTTTTCGACATAATCTCAACTATCCTTCTTAAGGCTTCATTTCTTGCATGGTCTGGAATTTTATGATTCCACAAACACGGGTATTCATCATATGTTTCCAAAAACTGTATTATTTGTTGTGATATCCATTTTTTGGACGGTTTATTACAAGATTTTCGCAATTTTGGTGGATGAACACGTTTATATTGTTGCTCGTTTTCTTTACCAATACTACTATTGGCGCCAAGAAGTTGACGATCGGTCAACTTTATCGACGCTATAATTACTTTCGCCAATGGATTTTTGCCATTTCCACATGTAACTAAACTGGTGCCAGTAATCCATACATGTGCAAACTTAAAGGGCCCATACACGGTGATGCAAAACCGAAGCATGTTTGCATGCGAGAAAATGTGAAACGAAAATTATGGAACACACGGTTCAAATTTACTTGTCTGTTTTAGTATCAGTTTCATTGCGACTGAAAAGTGCGACTTATTAACTATAAGGAATATAATACGGCAACATGATTTATATTTAATTGCTACTGCTATCGCAATATTAGTGAAGAAAAAGAAAGGAAGGAAGATCAAAATGGGTAAAACATTGGCTGAAAAAACGAAAACAGTATTTTCACACGAATTTACTGAACAAATTACGATTAGACGTCGATGACCATAGGAGTTATTTGCGCATAGATGCAAAACATGTCGGAGAACGTTCTTGATATGTAACATGATCATGTTACATATCAAGAATAGTGGCAATATTAATTTTGAAAATGTACTTACATGACACTGTTTCGTTATCATACATAGTGTCCTTATGTATCTTAACCCTACAGTACGAATAAATAAAATAGATAATAGTATATTAAAAAACAAGCTTCGTAAGACACGCTTGAAATGCACGAATTCAAGTTGAAAAACGAGTGGCGAAGCCACGAGTTTTTTAATGAATGAGTGCTTTAAGTCTTATGAAACGTGTTTTTTATGCTATTTTTTGTAATTCGCGTTTTTATACTTGTTTTTAACAAAAATAAAGTAAATTTTGGCAATGTAGGGAAATATGTATGTAGCAGTTGGTAACACCGGAACACTTGAAAATAGAAACTTTGAATTGACAATTAGAAACTGTCAAAACACAAAATATATTCACCTGGAAAAGATGTTTGATGTACACCTCCCAAAATAAGAGAAATTGCTCAGAGTCAATGTCCTCATCATTGTGTTTAAACATCCATAGATAAACATTGTCACATTGACAACTAGACAAATTAATGACCCAATGTCACCAACTTGAACTGGTTCCATAAAATGTTCGCGAATTACAAAAAAAGCTTTTTGTAATTCGCTACGGTAATGGAAGCTACAACAGTACGCAAACGGGTGCGGTAATGAGACTCCTTACAGCACGATGTTGTAATGAGATTTTAGTAACATTTTATGGAACCAATTCAAGTTGATGACATTGGGTCATTAATTTTTCTAATTGTCAATGTGATAATTTTGTCTATGGATGTTTAAACACGTTCTTAGCATCAAATGCAAGGTCCACAATGATGAGCAAATTGAACTCTGAGCAATTTCTCTTATATTGGGAGATGTACATGAAACATTTTTTTCAGGTGAATACATTTTGTGTTTTTACAATTTCTAATTGTCAATTCAAATTTCTATTTTCAAGTGTTACGGTGTTACCAACTGCTACATACCTATTTCCCTACATTGTCAAAACTTATTTTATTTTTGTTAAAAAAAAATATACAAACGCGAATTAAAAAAATAGCATAAAAAACACGTTTCGTAAGACTTAAAGCACTCATTCATTAAAAAACTCGTGGCTTCGCCACTCGTTTTTCAACTTGAATTCGTGCATTTCAAGCTTGTCTTACAAAACTTGTTTTTTAATATACTATTACAGTTCTTTATTTAAAAATAATAGTATACATTATTCACTTAAAAATTATGAATAATATTGCCCGGTTGATAATGGGGAGAGAATCGACAGTCTGAAAATTGTAGAACGAACAGCCATTTCGTAAACAAATTTGAATACATAATACGCTTGCGAAGAACAATTTAAAACTGAGCAGAATGGCATGAACTGTCTCCACACGTAGAGGCTTGCACAATATACAGAGACTCAGCCAGATCTTATCGTGTCATGCCTAGCCCAAACAACTTCATCAGTTTTGGGACATAGACGATCATATTTCTTCATCATAGTTCTGCATGCAATTGTGACAGTTTTACATCATAGCGTATGGGCCGGCTTACGTTTAGTTCCACTTTTAGTTCAATAAAAATATACTAACATTGGTATTAGAACTAACACTAGACCTAGAACTAGAAATATTCGGGTTTAGCCGTACGTCTTTTAAGAGGGCTAAACACGACTATACTGTTCAACAAAATTCCGTCCAGAAAAATTTACGTGAGAAAAAGACGTTTAATCAGCCATTCCTGCAGTGTACATTTGTTCATCCTAAATTTTATTTTCGTCTTCTCTAGCTAATCTGTCTGACAATAAGCTTCTACGAGCTTCTTTAGATTCATCAGTCATAGAGTGCCAACGTGGGCAATATGACATGAGTTCGCATCGTGGCAAAACTCAAACCATGATCTTCCAATTGTTAATTTTAGTACATTCCATAATGCTTGTAAGACCGTCATTAAAATTGCAAGCAGCAATATCGGATGCATTGCCAACTACTTGCCATACACCATAACACAGCGGTATAACTTTCATTACTATTGTTATTATATAATTTTTTATGCATTTTAATTTTTTTTAACAGTGAAGTCAAAATACGTAGATATACAGGGTGATTCTCAACCTACACGCATAAGTTTGGGATTTATTCCTCATGATAAATAATGACTAATAGGTGTAAAAAATTATAGTAAAAGTTTTTTAGTATCTTAGATATCCGATATATGCGGTGACATGTAGATAAGGTGCTTCCTGGAAGATGGATTGGTCAAGGTAGTACATTACTCTGGCCTTCTCGATCGCCCAACCTCAATTCTCTTGATTTTTATTTGCCGGAAGATGGATCGGTAGAGATAGCACATTAGTCTGGCCATCTCGATCGCCCAACCTCAATTCTCTTGATTTTTATTTTCGCAAATTAAAGTACACAAATTTGTTACTTAACTCTCATATACGATGGTTTTCAAGTGGCAAAGTACTCAAAAGATTGTTCGATCTAAGAGTAGAAATAGAAATTTTTTAAATGATCAGAAATCATCATTAACAGAGAATTTTAGAAATAATAAATGCCTTGCTAAAATTGCTTATTTGGCTGATATATTTTCATTACTTAATGAATTTAGCAATGCAAGGAAAATAGACCAATATATTTGTAATGATAACATAAAGATGATCCAAATTGGGTTTGCAATTAAAGTTTGCATTTTAACAGTTGGTATCTAAACACATGCCAAATTCATCATGGCATCGTATACTGTGTAGAAATACGTAA